AACTGCGCCTGTCAGATGAAGATGAGAGGGTCTGAGGCATATCGTAGTGTTGTCATCTTGATTCAACTGGGAAGCGATGTGTGTGGCCCTGAGTCCACTCTCGGCTCTGGGAGCTTTCCTACCAAAAGACCAATAAAGCACTTTAAGGCTGATATCACGAACCGATTCTTCCTTAAGCGGAACGAATTTCCAGCAGTACTCCTGTCCAGATAGATTATCTCTCCACACTCGTCTGAGGATGGCAACGAGCTGATTCTTGGCCCAGACTTGATCCCGTCGATAACTAAATGCGACCTTTTCGACCGAAAACTCGTCTATAGGGTTACGAGAAGGATTGAGCTTTAACAAAAGAGCATCCACTTCGTCTTGAGGTTCTCGTGGATCGTTCTTTGCTCGCCTTCGATACAAAGAAGTATCCGTGTCTGAACTCGAGGCAACAATGACTGGCGAGGAAGATTTTGGCGATAAAAACGAAATGCGATACACTGTTTTAAACGGGTTGAGTATCACAAAGCGGTAGCCCCCTCGAAGCTTGTTCTGAATTGCAACGTCGTAACCGTCGCTGCGTAGACTCGTCGTGCCTTGCTTGGGATCCAAGATTGCTCTAGCTTTTCCGTTGGGCCACATGCACTCCAATTGGATGACATAAACCTCGCGGTGAGCAACGTGGTCTTCGTGATTGACAGTCCTAAGAGTTCCACTGGCATCCACCAACCGCGTCAAGCCCGCCTGTAAAGACCCAGATTGGAGAAGTGTTGCCTTGGCGTCTTCGTTTCCGTCCGGGATGCCACAGTAAAGAATAGAAGGAACATCGGGAATCGGCGACGACATTTTCTTCGCAGGATCGAATAAGGTATTCTATACAGTACATGCTGTTAATAAATTTACTGCTATGATGGAAAAGCCTCTTTGAATTGAATAGAATTATCGGTATCGGCGAGTCAGCATACGCCATGATGTGCGGAAGAAGGCTGTTGGTAGTATTTTTATAGGGACATTTTTCTACGTAACAGATTTACGTAGGTAGCGACGTCAATCGCGCAATTTATTGCGTTGATCCATTGCGTCGTAATTTTGGTATGTCAGGGACATGCGGGGAGAATCAATAGTAATTTAACACGTATTAGGTGACGTAGATTTTACCACTAGATAAAACGGGGAAGAACGAGTTATTCTAACCACCCGCAACGAGCAGTTAGTCAGCTCGCACAGCCAAAAATGAGTAAACAAGAACACCACAAGTTTCTTCACTGTCCAATTTCCGACTGCACGTATTATGGAGGGACCTTCCGCGACACTTGAAAGCCAAGAAACACCGCGAGGACGTTGATCCCCTAGAAGCGAACGCTATCGCGCAAATGGTCAGCAAGGGAAGGAAACGAAGGATCCAATCGGTTGTTGATCCGTTGGTGTCCGGTGGAAGGTTGCTCATTTCTCACGCCCTACTTGCGAAACCATCTAAAAACAAACATAAAATCAGAAACGATATTAAGTTGGACGATGTTATGAAGATGTCGTTACCATACGAGCCTTATAAGCTACCGCCATCGGCGAAAACATCCGTTCGTATAGAATCGGACGACGACGAAGACGACGATGGCGACGAAGAGGAAGACTACCCAGGGAAGGTGCAAAGGCATTCTATCTGTCACAACGCATCACCTCTGATCGTCATTGGTTCCTTGTAAAGTTTTACGATCATCTGGGCAGTATCGACGAGGGTCTTAAAGACGAGAAGACTCGCTGTCAACATGCCTGTCAAATGCGAAAGATTCTGGAAGACATGGACCCACGAGGCAAAGACATTGCAGTGATAGCTACCGAGGAAGGAAGAGCCGTGTGGAATCTATGGGTGGCTCCGCGTCTCGAAAATCAAACGTCCATCACAGCTGGTACCCTGATGTCATACATGGGCTCTTTCAAGAAGTTTTTGAAATTTGTCGTTCAAACCCAGAAACGTCGTTGTCTCGTCGATGGAACACCGCGGCTATCGGACGAAACCGTAGACGTCCTGCATGAGATCACTGGAAAGCTCCAGGGATGGCGATCCATCATTCTGAAACAAAGTGCGGTGCTGCGCAACGAACACTATCTCCAGGAGTGCGAGCAACGCATCACGCGAGAAGACCTTCAAGCATTTTTGAGATCACCCGTTGTGGCCGAGGCGGAGGCTCTCTTTGGCGCGGACGGCAACCGTCGAGGATCCAGCGCTTTTCACGAGCTCGAGACTATCTCATCGCCCGCCTGGCAGTATCGTGCGGCACGCGCCCCAAAGCACTGGAAACGGCCACGTTGGAACACTTTAAACATGCCCGCCGAGATGTCAACTACCCGGATTGTTATGTTATGCTTGTACCAAAACATAAGCGGCAGATGGACGGACCGGCCATCGTCACGATGGACGAGAGGCTTCACGGGTTTATCGACACTTATATTCGAGAAATACGACCCGCGGTGGTCGCCTCTCCGGAGGAGACACACTTGTTTCTCAAGATCGACGGAGAGCCCTTTGAACAGGGTACAATAGGAAACCGCGTCAGTGAACTGTGGAGGAAGTCGGGAGTCCGAAAAGGGGCTCGCGTCACTTGCACAGACTTTCGAAAAGCCATCGTAACCATGGTGGAAGAGGCAAACAAGGAAGAGAGACGCAAGACCGGTCGCGAATGCATTGCCGATAACGACCTACGAAAGTTGCTGGCTCACTCTCAAAAGACTGCCGCTATCTGGTACATGAGAGAAGATCTGACTTCTCTGGGAGCGCGAACACACACCACCATTCAACGCATTAGAGAAGGGATACAACAAGAAGACAACGGGATGCATTCTATGACCACACCTAGTGGCACTGCAACCAGTAGCACCGAAAGGGAAAGTGCACCGTCTCGAGAGCCATCGCCACCGGTGTCATTACCAACCCCACAGCCTCCGATGCCCGTGTCGCCACAAACTTCAGAGCCTCCGACAATTGTTTTTGTTCCAGATCCACCCCATCCGTCAACGATGGCGATCGATACAACCGAGGTCTCCGTGGCACCAGTATCAGTTCTGTCTTCGACGTCTCTACCTGGCGTTCGCCGACCTCGTCTTCGACGCAGATGGCCTCCAGAGGACACTACATTGATCGTCAAGTATGTTGAATCCTTGAATGGAAGATGCCCTAGCAAACAGGAAATATACGATGCTTTTCACAAATCGCCGGAGTTTATCAGCATTTCCAAGCGCGAAAACTTTGATCGTTTCTTCCACAAGGTCAAGACCACATTCAAAGCATTAAGGCAATCGGGACAGCTGACTTGTTAATCATGACCACTCCGAGGAGAAAACGTCGAAGAGTAGGCAAGGGCAAAAAACAAGAACAGGGAAAGAATATGATCCGCGTTAAAAAGATTTATCGCAAACATTTGCTCAGGCCGCTTCGATTGATTCATCCCATGCACCACGAGGATTCTTTGTATGACATTTGCTATGACAGATTTTTTCACACAGCACGGGCATTCGCGAAACGTCTAAAGTTCTCTCTGAAGTTGCAAGGATACCGGCACTTATTTCAGACCGACCTGGATACGCGAGACTGAAACGACATAAGCAACTAGAAGAAGTCGAGCCGACCGACGGAGACACTGACATTGAGGCACCGTCTAGAGAAACGATGGATCGCATAGACAATATTCTGGGAATGTTAAGACCTAGTGACTTTGACACAGCCGGATTCGACGACCACTCTGTGGAAGTAACACAAGAGACTCTTATCCAAGACGACCGAGGAAGCGGTCATCTTGTTTCTTTGAGTTAATGACACGTTAGATTTTTCAATCCCTGGTGTAAAAAGAAAATGATGACATTCGAGTTTCGTTCGTAGCGTTTTTGTTCAGTTATTATTCGGATGTTTTATTATGATCTCAGAAAAAAATTGTTGTAACTATTTAAGGCATTGTTCGTCTTGGTCGTTGAGTCAAACTGTTATGTTCTCGATTAGATAGACTGAGGGCGATGCAATAAAGTCAAACAAAGTCTTTCAATGATGTCGTTTTTATTTTTCTTTGGGTTGATTTTCTTTGTTTTTACACTGCTAATACTGCTGCATTATACTCTGGTAACCACGAAAGAACAGGCCCCTCCTGTTGTCGGTGTACCTTGACCACGTCAGGCTTTTTATTGTTAAAATGTTTCTTTGTTGGTCTGACTTTTAGTCGCTTGACTCTCTTTCGCTTCTTCAATTTCATGTTACAAGCATCCAAACTTGCCTCGAGGTTTCGTATTTGCTCGTTCTTGGCATTTTCGAGGGCAGAATAGTCTTCAAGAATCTTTTCGTTCATTTTTTCGAGTTCTTCGATTCGTCTCCTTTCCTCTTGGTTGCACATGTCGTTTAATTCAAATCTGAGATCGGCCATTCTCAACTCCATTGATAGCTCAGAGGTGCGTTCGCGTTCCTTCTCCAAGGCTTGGCGCAATCGAACAATTTCTTCCTTTGTTTCGGCATCCAACTTGCGCTTGTCGCTCCTCGCTTTCTGTTCCCGGGTGTCTGAAACGACGCCAAACTGCAAGCGCTCCGGAGGTAATAGAGGTCTACCGGCATAATGGGCCCGAGTAAAGTTGGCAGCCAAGGCGCCGACCAGTGTGTAACCGTACTTGTCCCAGTTGGTGCGCTCTTTTATGGGCTTTACACCCTCGGGCGCGGGGATCTTGTATTGCTTAAAATTGGTGATGCTGAGCATCGTCCCTTGCGTCTGAAAGTATCTCTTTCGATTGTATTCCAGTTGGTGCTTGTATTGGTGCAGTCTCACCTTGCCATCTTCTCCCAACATTTCTATGGACAATCGTTTGGTGGTGGACTCTGGATCGTAGAGAGGAACATCTCCCATGGGCGTCTTTCCGTATGCTTGTACCGAGATGGTGTGTTTGCCGCGAAATGCCAGAGCTTCGCATCGGTACTCTACCAAACCCTCAGAACTCGAGTAAATGGGAACGATGCATTCCACGACATTGTGAAGCGTCAACAAGCTCGCTTGCGGATCTTGAACGCCTTCCTCTTTCAAGCGCTCCAGGGTGGCTTGTCGATCAAACGGGACCAACACGTACACCGTAGAGGACACGTTGTCGTACTTGCTGCGTTGGTTACCAATATCAGGGAGCACCATGGGACGGAGGCATTCGCTGATCACACAAGGGCGCTCAAAAATACACTTGGTCTCGTCCTTCGTCAAGATTCCAAATCTTCCTTGGCCTTTATCGAACTGGGGCCAGTCCTTGCCCAGAATTTTGACTCTTCGAACGCAGTCGAGGCTGTATGATCGGCGAGTAGCCTTCGTCTGGGTCGTCACGAATTTACCCGCGTTGTGAACGGCAACCCCACAGTGAATCATTTTAGGATCGGTAACCTCTTGCAGCAAAGAAGCGTTCGAGGTCAGATCTTGTCCACAAACAAGGCATGCCAAGTGACGGTGGTAACTGACGCAACTTTCGACCCGGCCCTTCGATTCTCGGGCAAGCCTCATGGTGTTATTGAAGTGATCATGGGTAACCATGCTACCCAGTGTCGTCACTTGATCTTGACCGAGTCCATCGCGATGTTTCTCGCTAACGGCGTGAAAGATGGAACCGGGCACGATTGGTTCTTCTTTCAGAGGATAGACGCTGCTCAAGACTGTATTGATCTGCCTCAAAAAAGTGTCGTTTAAGATACAAGGGATACTGTTCATGGTCAGCACCACCAAATTTGTAATGCTGGTGAAATCCAATCCTTGCTTTTTCGTATCGGTCACTTGAAATAGGGGGACTTCTGCTACGCGCTTCATGGGGCTGTTGATCCGCTTCTCCAACGAGTCATCCGGCTTGACGCCAATCGCGCTGCAAAATACCTCTAGTAGACTGTCCTGCAAAGGCATCTTGGCCAATCCAAAAAAGTTCCACACCTCTGCCGCATCCCCAGTAATGATGGCCGCGCTGGCACCGTCAGCTCCAAACTTGGGCGTGGCGATGTCGTAACTGAAGACGGCAGTGGCCGTCCTTTGCATGCAGTCGAACTTGGACAAACATTCTCCGCTCGATTGAGCACCGACGTAACCTCCCGGTAACGACTCAATATCATGAATGGCTTTGTTGACATAATCGTAAGGTTTGATGCCTCGCTTTCTGACGTGTTCCGCCACTCGGGTCGGGTCGAGAAAAAACTGCCCCAGTAGCTCACTTGGCGTAGACGGGTCGCGAGTTAGCAGGGTCGGATCTTGAACCACCGGGCACATGTTGGAGATACGGCGAGGCACGTCTGTATTTGTCAAGGTCATTTGCGATTTCTCGCCGTACGGTGTTACTACGGTAAAGACGAGCGCGTTCAGAGAATCGTCCCAACGAGAATCTATGGCCACGGAAAAACCCCTGTCCAAATCTCGTCGAACGCTCTTGCGAACGTTCAATTTATCCATCTCGTCCCGATAAGATGGAGGTGCTCCATGGACAACTTTCATCTCGGTTTTTATGCTTGCTCCTTTCTATTGCCGTTCAAAGCAAAAATAAAATATAAGAATACAGATTCAATCGCTTATATATTCTTTATTGACCAATCGTATTCAAGTTAGTTAAATTACGTAACGCATCTGCGAGAGACTGGCGAGAGTCAGGGATTGGATGAGCCAACTGTAATCCTATCACACCGATATCGTCAGATAAAGTCGCGCCTGCCATTCCTGAGATCGTCTCTAACACGTCGCCAGTTATCCCAAGAAAATCGTTCCAGTACGGATACAGCCTCCTCTTCCCCAAAATTGAACAAGGCAGGATATGGCGCTCTTTTCACCTCGGTCTCTTCCGTCTTCGAACGTTAGAGGTGCCTCGCACAATCCTTGAGTTCTGCCGCGAGCGATGCATATCAAGAGGACGCCGAGAACGTGCAATTCGGCTGTGGTCTGATCGCACGGGCGTCTGCATAAAAAAGCCTCCGGCGGAGAAAAAAAACAATTTCCGTGTACCCACAATCGTCGTTTTCCCTTGGCCGCGTCTCGGGCGTTTCCAAAGTCGATCAAAGTCAGATGATAGTTGCGTGCAACGTTAATCACGACGTTCTTCCAACTCAAGTCACCGTGCACGATATTCACGGTATCGTGAAGATGTTGAACGGCCTCTACCAATTGCAGCACAACCCTGAGGGTGGTTGGCTTTGAACGCCTGCTATAACGCGACACCCATTCGCCCAAAGTGACTCCTTCGACCAAAGGCATCACGAGTCTGGGCAAACCCGTCGTCCCTGGCGGTGGGGTGCAAATCCACCAAAGTTCCACGACGCCGGCGTTCTTATGACGATTACATCTCAACATGGCTACCAACTCCCTGTCGAATTGGTCGTAATCCATATACTTGTAGACCTTGACTGCGCACTTGAGCGTGGCCCTCTTGAGAGCCGGGAAGCAGGTGGCAAAAGTTCCAGAACCCAGTGGTTGCGAGGAAGGATCGATGTCTAGCTCCGATGAAGAAATGATGCCTACCGAATCATCTATTACTGCAGGTAACACGGCCGCTTCATTGAGGAGTTCAACAGTCGAAGGTGACAATGTAAGGTTCTTTTTCAACGAGTCGCGCTGCGTCGACGGCATTGTCGATGCTCACAAAGGGTGGACCAACGGACGAATCGGTAAGAAATTCACCGGTTCTCATACAAAGCACCAGACGTCTGAATTTTGGAATTAATCGAACACAGGCGGGTGGTGCAACGATTTGACATTGCTCATCGAATGCCACTGCCTCCAAGCGGGCGTCGCATCCCAACTCGCATCTAACCAATGTCGAGATGTGCGATACGTCGACAGGCGGTGGCAAGGCACCAACCAACGTGATGAATATTGATTTGTCATGTTCCCCTCTCGTGACGAGCACTGTTCCCGGTCCCACCGTTAGATGGGTATCGTTGGGGAACCAGGGAAGCAGCCAATGTGAACTGGATGACACGGGAGTGAAATGCAATAGAGCACCATCTCGGTCCACTTCCACGAGCCAGGACTCGGTGAAATTTACGCGCGATATGAGGACAGCAACGGCACAGTTCAACAATGTCCACTGCATCTTCGCAATGATAACTCAACTCTTTTTACGCTACGTTTATTGCTGTTGTGGTTACCGGAAGACAATCATGTCTCGATGAAAAGAGATGGGAAATCTCCGAAAAATCTCCTCGAATGGCAGTCCTTCTGTTGAGGGATGGAGGTAGATTTTGTGATACTCGTCAAGTCTTCCAAACTTAGTTGAGAACTGAAAGGGAGAACAAACACAGGAGATGCGCTTCCCACTCACCGTCACGGCGACTTGTAGCGGCGCTTCTGTATCTTTTTCCTCGTCGCGAATGAATGGTGGCAGGTGAATACACAGATCCATGATAGCGTGATCCGAGCGAATCTTAATCAGAGGGCATTCCAAGTATCGTCTCTTGAGACATTCCATGACGCTAGTAAACTTTATGGTGTTTTTCTGGCGAAGAATAGGAGGGACGTGTGCCTCGAAAAGCTGTTGCCATCTACGAACCTTATATGGGCTCTTATTGTCCTCTTGAGATCGCACTAACTCGGACAAAGTCATGTACCACTCGCTCGCAAAGAAACGTTCTTCGTTCAGGGCTTCCATGCCACCGGTGGTTGTCTTGCGCTCGAAACCATCCAGACCACATAAGCCGTGCACGAGCGGTGACCATTCGGCCCACTGGGGAAACCGGGGCGGTTTGGGTACGCTAGCGTTACCCACGTACGTAAGACGCTTACCTACCATTCTGCCATCCTCGTGCCTCAAAATGTAAGGATGACCACATGCTCCAGCACTGGTGACATCGCAGTGTTCGATGAGTAGCAAGGTACTCAAGGGAAGACAAGGATCCTGCAACGAAATAACATTCCACCCCTCCCACTTGGGAAGGGTAAAGACAAACGTTCGCTTGTATGGATCGGCACGTTGCGTGTCTAGATCGAACGAGAAATTCTGCGGCTGCTGTTGCTGTTGCTGTTGCTGTTGCTGTGGCTGTGGAAATGCCATCCAGTCTGTTCTGATTTTTGGAAAAACACTAACTCGATAAAAGACTTAGGTATTGATACCAATAAGGAAAATAAATACAACGATTATACTCACGTCTGGTTTTCCTGCAATGATGTGGAAAGTCGATTTTCTCTTCTCTCTCGCGAATACGAGGGTAACGTCGCGATCGTTTTTGGACAATCGCACGTCACGAACGAGATCCAGGCGTATCATCAGTTCCAATAGGCGATACACCGCCTCAAGATGCAACCGAGCCGTGTCAAGGGTGATGGCCATGAGTAACACGAACATGTCTTCTCTTGCATAACACATGGTCAAGGCGATAGCCAGATCCACGGCAACAGACTTACCGCTCCGTCTCGGTAGTACTATGACAGCCATCTTTCGGCCCAGAGTCTCTAAGATGTGATTCATCCTGTCAGCGACTCTGGGGTCGGGAAATCTGGGATCGTACGTTGTCATCTCGGGCGTGGCCAAATGCAATAGTTGCAAGACCTCGTGGATGTAACGGTTGGTTTCACTGCCGATGAGTCGCTTGAACATACCCAGGAGGTAACTCTGGAGGTATTGCCACTGGAACGGTTCCAGACGCCACCCCTGGGCACCTAACAAAGTCCACAGGGCAGAAATGGCATCGCGAACGAGGTTCATGTGCATCCTCCCTTCGCTGTCTCCTCTGTGAACCGGGTCTAGCGTAGCCCTCGCCACGGTCACCCCTCGTTCAAAAAGGCAGTCCACGAACTCGTCGTAGGTGTGGATGACAAGCGCTTCTTTGCGCTGTCGTTCTTCTGACACCACTTGAGCAATGGAAGATTCGACCAATCGAGCAAACCGGTTGCCCAGGGCCGATAAGCGACGGATTGTGCCATTGGGTTGATCTCGGCAGCGGAACGTCCCGAGCCGGTCCGTCGTCCCATAATCGACAAAGGTTCTACGATGTCGCAAGACGCGGTCCCTATTCACGGCTGCATCGCATCGTCCAAATAAGCAATTCAAGATGGCGGCTCTCGTCGCCACTGAATCCATAACTTTCAGCAGTGGGTGGCAGGTATTTCTCGATCCTTCTTATCGTGTCTTGGTAGTGGAACGTTCACAGTGTAAATGGATCCCTTTGCGTTTCATCGACTTTCATAAGTGGGTACCTATCTGGAACGGGCAAGAAATGAGTGCCTGTCGTCTACTGGACATTGTCGAAGAACGCGAGGAGCGCAATTCGTGGCCCGTGGTGGATACGTTTGCTGTTGATGCCGCCACCACCATGGGACTCTTGCCCGACGAGAGCGTGGATCGAGTTCAGTTGTTTTATCGCTGGAGTCTACCACCGGACTTACCAGACTACGAATGCCATGCCTCCCACGATCCGACCAACCTGTTACCAATGGCATTCCAATGGAAACCGGCGATTCTTTACGGGACAATCGACGTGGCCGTTTCGATAAGTGGTTTGCATGTACTCGACATACCGGGCGTGGAAATCATGGAAGGCGTTCAAATGTCGCAGGGGGTACGAAAAGCTCTCTCGAGGCCCGGAAATGAGACCATGTTTTTGCTGGCGCGACGTAGCGCGTAAGGTGTTGATCAACGGCGGCGACCCACGAGGCACGTTGACCATGCGAATCGAGGTGGAAGACGACGAGATGCGATGCGAGGGAATTCAGTGCACCTCTTTTCTGGAACTTCAAGCTAGACTTTTGATGAACGCAAGGTCCTCGACCAGCAAGAGTGACAGACACGCCGTCATTATTGGTCACTCGGACAAATACGTGATCCAGACACTTCGCAGAATACTAGCTACCATTGGAGCTCAGAGTCGCAAGACTTCGTACATCCAGAACACGGGAGAGCACTGCGGACGCGAGTTTTACAAGCTCTTTTGGTATCCCGAGCTGGAAGATTACATAGACCCTAGAAAAGATCACGGTCCGACGTTCACAGCCTTCCGTCCCGTGCGCATGCCTGCGTCGCCACCGTATTGCGTGGTACAGTTTGCCGACAAGGGTACATTTCTCGTGGATGGTGTGCGTTATTTACCGTATGCTGAAAGCCAACCCAAATTGACGGGACGCCCGTGGTCACACTCTATTGGGGTGAGAACACGAAGGTATGTTCGATGAAGAGGTTGCCATTGCTCGTTTTCTTCTCTGTTCCAATGCGATCGTCTTCATTGTGGAGACGGCATTTGCCAACAGGATTCGACCTTATGTGTCTCACGAAACGATGTACCTGTGTATATTTTATTACCTCGTGGCGAACGTTGCCTCGTCCAGGAGACAGTTGCCTGCATCCTCCCGCTCCGTTTGGGCTTGCTTAACCAGAACGGCTCTTTGCTCCATTCCCTGACCTCGTTACTGTCCCTGTTATACAACTTTCGTCACTCGATCGTGGACTGTATCGTGCACGATACGCTCGGGGATGCTCAGTCCTGCAGATTTGGAGGAAATCGCTTGCGCTGCGAGTCATTTCTTTTGGCCGCAAAGAGACAGACCGTGCAAGAGGGATGTGCATCGTTCGTCTTGGGACCTTTCATGGCAACTCTGTATGCGATCCTGGTATTTGTCCTTCGGTTCGTCCCGTGCTTTTTTTTCGAGGCGTGTACTTTGCTTTCACTTTCACCGAAGACCGGCTTTACCCGCAAGGATCATCCCTCAAGGCTCCAACCGACCGCCATCAAGACCGCGCCTTACCTTCAACTACTTTCTATCTAGCTTTGGCGTTACTGCTTTGGGGAGTCTTTTCTTTGGAAATTTCCGCCGGGAAGCACGCGGAAATATGCACTTACACGACTCTGGTCTTCTACGGAGCTTTATTCATCATCCAAGTCTCTCGGTCGCAAGAAGGGACGTCGCAAGAAGTGAACCGGGTTCTCCAGGAGCTACAATTTGTGGGTTCGATCTTACTGGTGTTCTTCGTGTACATGGACTTTACCCGAAATACAATCGTGCTAGCCTCGACGTGCGCAGAATTGGTGGACTACAAAGTGTTGTCCGAATGCCAACCCGGAGACAAGGTGTGTCTGGATACTCGAAACGCCTTGTCTACCACCTTTTTCAGTCAATACGACTGCCCCCAAATAAGCGCAGACTCTACCAGACACGTGTATTTTTATTTAGGTCAGATTCTGAGATTGATAGTGTTGGCCATCGTCTACCCGATCGCCTTGATCTATCAACACGTCCAACCAGACCGCAGTAGCGGTTATGGTTCCGGGAGCGGGGGCTTTCTGAAAGAAACCATTGACAAGACACCCGCAGATGAACTGAAACGCATTCTATATCAGGCCGTTGAATTAGACTTTGAACAACAACGACATTAACAAGATCTGGGGTAGCAGCGAAAGTTTGCACACACCACGGATGGCAGTAAGGACCAAGTATCTACCAGCGAACGTTGGCGTGTATGCAGAATGTCGCCTATCAGACAATCAACGGGCAAGTGTGTTTCTCGACCTGGTCAATACTGTGTGCACCACTTCATGGCCAATGGGTAACGAGGAAACTTGTCTTGAACGCGGGAACTCTGTACACACTGAATCGCA